CTAACTTACATGCATGCATAATACGTGTCCCATGACACCCTTTTCTTACATAATTAAACAATAAATAAAACATAAAAATAATCCAAGTTTTTTTTACATTTAACAATTCCAACAATCTCCCTCCTAAATGTCAAAACGTCTTCAGGTAGCTTCAAATATTGAGTCTTCATAGTATGATCACTAAATCCTCGCCTTCAACTGAGTCATCGCTCGGGTCCTTGTCTCCCTCCGAGTAGTAGCCATCAATACTCGGGTCTTCGTTTTCCTCTGAGTAACATTTATTAATGTTCGGGTCTTCGTTTTCTGCTTGCACACCTTCTGATACCTTGCTGTCCTTGAGTTGAACTGATGTCTTAGTGGCGTTCCGGTCTTCCTGACCATTCCCCCTGGTCCATCTACCATCCGAGGTACCTACGCCATCATCAACCTGACAACCCTTTGTGTCTTGAGTCCTGTCGGGCATACTCCCGAACTTCTGACTCTTAATACTCGTGTACCTTCCGTACCATTTCTGAGCAAAAATAAAGTATTCGTGTGGGTGCAGAAGATAATCTATAAACAATCTATTAAATGTCTCAYCATAACATTCTGGAAAACCRAAACTCTCTGCAATCTYGTTCCAAAGTCCATTCACGGTGATGATTTCGTGTCCTCCATAACCTAAGATCGATTTGTAAAGATCGAATAGACACACTTCCAGTCCCGAAACCTTCGGTGGCACAATGATTTCTTCATTGTCCTTGATCTTAAAAAACCATACTAGTGCTTCGTTGAATTTCTTTTCAAAAAATTGCTTATTTGCATAAGCAATTCGGTCATACTTGACCAAAATCATGAAAGTGGTAAAATCATCGAGAGTTTTAATATGTACGGGCACAAAACTCCCACAAATCTCGATTTTTTCTTCCTCGATCATTTGCTTCTTCCCTTTGTCACATTTCTTCGAATTCGTACTCCCGAATTCCTTCTTTTCTCTTGTTTCTTTCTGGGAATCGTCACACATATGAGTGATTTTGCACTTCAAATCACTTACTTCAACTTCGAAACCTTGAAGTATAAGTTGCTTCATACTCAAAACGTTGATGTTAACTTCTGGTACGAATGATACGTAAGGTATGACATACGTTCTTTCGTTCGTATTTAAACTTATTTCACCRATACCATGCACATATATAGGATCAAAGTGACGTTCTTCATCATTGATGAAGAGACACTTCTTAAAGCTATCGAACATCTCCTTTGTAGGAGACATGTGCTTAGAGATTTGAGTATTTACGTACCAAATGTTGTTCCAAGATCCCATATCCGTACCTATAACCAAATAATCTCCGTTTATGACGATTCTTTCGGTGTGTGTTTGTTGATAAGGCAGCAACGGACCAAGAGTTCGAGTACTTCGAATTTTGCTGCTTGTTCCGATTTCCGTTGCTTGTAGGATCGATTTTTTCTGCCTCGAGGATGCCATCTTTCTTGGGCAATCCCACGCAAAATGCCCCTTCAACATGCATCGATAGCATGTTGGTTTCTTCGGCCTAGTTTCGCTTTTTTCACGAGAGTTGAATGGACTGCTTTGACACTTTGCGGTCTTATCGTTTCCATTGATTYGTGTACRTGTTTCGCGAAGTTGTTGCARAATCCTCATCGAGTTCCTCCTTGTTTGTTCTTGCTTCCATTTTTTATCCTTCCGTTGATTTTGATCCAACCGTCGGCTCTGATACCATGTTCGAGATGAAGACTTTGGCATCGAAACTTTTAAGTGTTTCGATGTAGAACCTTCTTCATTAGAGATCATGTGATTGAGATCTTTAGAAGTTG